TTTTTTTTTTTTTTTTTTTTTTTTTTTTTTTCCTGTGCGCGGTCGTCACTTGGGCGGCTTGCCATGAGCAATGCGCGTTCCGTCCCCCCCGCCTCAATCATCCCACCGCGAATTTTAATTTTAACAACGCCTTAGACACTCCCCCATTAAACTGTCAATTTTTTTTTTTTTTTGGTGCCTTTCTTGTGTGCATGCAAATGGGTGTGTAGGAAGAAACATGTGGTAAGAGAAGGTTTCACTACTCCCTTTTTCTCAAATAACTGGTGCACCTCGTAACGGTGATCAGACAATGTGGTTCATATAAAAACACGCGGAATGGATCCCCAAGGGTGTGGGGTGTGCCGTGTGGGCAGGTAGAATAAGTAAGGGGAAAAAGGTGTGTCCCACGACCCCTAATCTTGTCCATATAACGATTAATACATTTTTTTACGCACATCAGTGCGTTGGAGCGATGAAGTTTTATCACAGCGCTACTGCTAGGCATGCAGTGGCAGGGGAAAACGGGGGGTAGAGCTACCCACCATGTGTGTGTTGTGTGTGCCAGTCCAGGGACGGCCGATAATAAGCCAATTAAAAAAAAAAGAGGGGGGTGAGGGGGGGAAAAAAAATAAAATACCCAAGATAAAAAAACAAAAAAGAAATACGCAAAAAGGAAGAGGAATACAAAAAACAAAGTTAAGAAAAAGGGGAGCAATAACACAAAACAAAGTTACTCAAAAAAAAAAGGGGGAAACCGCTTCATCACATGAGCGACATGGATCAGGGGGTATATATATATATAAAAACACACTGAAATATAGGGTTACCTCAGGAGTGCTACACTGTGGTGCTACCTGCCCCAATGGACAGAGTAGTTGAAAAAAACAGGGAATAAAATGATAAGGGCGACGACAAGAAGGAAGATGCTAAAGTAAAAAATTTTTCTCTTGACAAGGGCATTGTACTTTTTTGCAGCAACAATATTATGCAGTGCATCGTCCGTGTAGTCCTTCACTTGGTATACATTATTTTCTATGCTATTAATATAGTTGGTTCTTTTTTTTACAACATAAGCTAGCTCGATGTACAGGTCATTGAGTGCAGCAATATTTTTTTCGAGCGTTTTTAGCTCTTTGTATCTTTTTTTCATTTGTTGTATGTTAACCCCATCAGCATTGTCTGGGTGTACATGGTCGCCCGCCAAGTTGGTGTAGCTGTTATTCTTTTGCATATTAAAGAATTGTTCTATGTCTTCCAAATCAGCTCTTGGTCTTGCTCCCTTGGACCATTTACCCTGTGACGTATTGTTGTTGCTAGTCTTCTTCCTGTTGCTTCCTTCTTCACCATCAGTGACACTGGGACAAATGAGTCTGTACTGTTTCATCAAATTTGCATTTACATGTTCATAATAATGGTGACACACATTTTTATATTTGTTAATACATGCTTTGTACTTTTGAACAACGTCTATGAATATATTTGTGCGCAGTTTAATTTCGCTGAGGAGATTATTATTTGACTCGAATTGCTTGTTCTCTTCATTTAAATTAAAAATGTGGGTCATAACCTGAGAGATGATATCCTCCGTGTTGGAAATGGTTGAATTAATTTTTGCATTTAGCTCCTCTGTGTCATATATGTTGAAATCAATTTTCTGTTTCCATGAGTTTATTTTATCCACATTTTTATATATGCAGGATATGTGTGTGTTGATTTGGTTTACGCTGAGGAGATATGTGTTGAAAGTATTTTGCTGTTGGCACAGGGGGGTACGCTCGTCCGCTGTGGAGTCATGAGGACCATCGACACATTTTTGTGAACCTGGATGGGTGACCCCATGGATGCCCTGTTCAATATCGCCAAGGCGTGCTTCTTCTTCGTCTTCTAGGTTTCTACCCCCATTTGCCTTCCTGCGCTGACTGATTATGCGACTGAACAGGCTAGCCTTTTCTGCACTGATGTCCTCATCGACGGAGCACACAGTGGAAGAGTCCCACGTGCTGGACGGGGGGGCACCTTCCGTGGAGGGAGGAACAATCCCGGTCGGTAGGTCGCTTGCCGATTGGTGCTTCTTACACTTTTTAGAGGCCTTCCGTCCATGACGCTTCTCTCCGCTCATCTTCGTTTGGTTATCATCCTGATGGTCCTCCCCCCCTTGGGCATCCAATTGTTCGCTCCTCTTCTTCTCACTCAGGGAGATGATCTCATTGAGGATATCCTCCATGGTGCCATACACTTGGGGGTGGGGGTCTTCAGCAAATACAGCAGGGGAATGTGTTTTTCTTCCTTTGAGCAGTTCAAAAGGGGAAAGGACTTTCTACCTCTATGAGGTCAATGGGGGAAAAAAAAAAGTTGTCACTCTACGTACCCAGTGGTACGACGCGTGTGGGGTCTGTCAATACGATGGCCTGCAGAGTCCCCTCTCCCCCCTTTTTTTTTTTTTTTTTTTTTTTTTTTCCTTCGCCTTATTGCGTGGAGAAGGGGTCCCTCGCGTGCGTTTAACACACGTGTAAAAGAGAGGGGGGGACACAGAGGGGCACAAGATGAAGTGTGGATGTGCCCAATGGAGAGTATTAAGTGGGAAGCTGGCGATATGAACTTCCTCAGGTGAATTGTAAGGGCTGCTCCAGCATTGGGGGGTAAATATCACACCTCGCCGGGCACGACAAAAACTTAGCCCAAATGTGAAATGAACACAGAGAAAAAAAAAAAAAAAAAAAAAAAAAAAAATTCGTTTTTTTAAATAAATCCTTGTGCTTCCCCCCCAAACTTTGGGTGTCATAAGGATATGTGTTGAATATGCCTAGAGATAAGTTCGTAAGGGGCTCAATTAATTTAGTAGTGCAATTGTGAGTGGAGTGCATTAAGGTATCTCACACGGGAGAGGGCGTAAATCTGTGCGGTTAAGCGGCACGGGGGTGTATGCGTGGTGGCATGTACGACTTGGGGTTTCCCTTCCCCTGCTGCCCTTTCGAAGTGTAAAAAGGAGAAAAAAGGTGTGGGATGGATGAAGCGAAGCCATGCGTTACTGTGTAACAGTGTGAAAAGGTTACTCATTTGGAGTGTGCCTTTTTTTTTTTTTTTTTTCTCCATTTTTGGAAACTTGCCTTGTTGGCTGCTTCCGACTTATTCACCTGTTAATTCACATTTTGGTTGTTCCTTCCTTCTGTTCTTCAAGGAGCGTGTATAGGTGTGGGGCTCGGTTCTGTGTACCCCTGGGTTTTATGTCTGCGTGTGGCAAGTTGAGCGGCGGATGCACCACGTGGGTATAACATCGTAGTAGTAGTAGTACTACTACTACTACCACTGAGGATATGTAAAAAAGGAGGGAGGGAGGAATGGCTAGCTTAGGGCACGTACAGCACCTGCCCTTGCACATGCACATGGTCGTCACGGAATTACACGGCGGTGCGACTCCGCTTGGGGGATACGATCAAAACTCCACCTGCGTGTACATCTGAAGGGCACACCCAAGGGGTGCCAGAATTTCCTTCAAGTGTGGCCAAGTGTGCCCAGGGATCAGGGAAAAAAAAAAAAAAAAAAAAAAATCGGAGGAAGCGCTAGGAGGGTGTGAAACAAACCTGAAATTGATTCAAAGCAGATGCTAAGCGAAACACCAAAACGGGTAGCCACCTCTCCTCTTGAAAAAACACAAAAAAAAAAAAAAAAAAAAAAAAAAAAAAAAAAAAAAAAA